GACGAAACCCGGCCGATCCACGCGAATCTCGAGTGTATCGCAACCGAATAGCATATGGTGCAGCCGTACCGTTCAGTGTACACACAGGAATCAGTGACGTGATTTCGCGCATGTGCCCGATCTAACTACGATGAAGTAACACATATGTTAATCTACTAGCTCTGTATTTTAGTATTCAAGTGCCGCATCAAGTGAGCTGATTCGGCTTGTTCCTATACACAATCGGGCAGGTGATTCAACGGAAACCGGATCAAGGCATTCGCAATCTCGCTTGCTTTTCCAGCACCATAAGAGACAGTGTAATAGTAAGCCGAGCGTAGTAAGGCCGAGCGTTGCATACGGTGAGGTGTCATCTGGTTTATGGATGATGAAGATTTCGAAATGGTCAACAGTCTTCAGAAGTATTGCCGGTCCCGAACGTAGTCCGAATGGCAGCTGGTTCTAGTGGAACAGACCCACGTGCCTATTGATGGTTGTCGTCTCCTTGACGGATTAATGAAGCTCTACTTAAGAGTAAGCGTGGCTTTAAGCAAGTTTGGAGAGCTTCTGGCGTTCTAATAAGGTCTCGTACAGGTCATCCATCTGCGGAATAGGGTAGTGTTCTGATAGTGACGACGCCTAGTTAATGGTCAGTTTATAATCACCAAAATATGGAGTGTGTCATATTTTTGTACTGGAAAATTCGGTGCGACCCAAGATAAGTGATATATAGGCGATAATATTCCATTTTGTTCGAGGCGCTCCAGCTCAAATTCAACTTCCGAGTGGATAGTAAAAAAATTACGGTTGGGTGTTCGGTCTGATATTGGAATATTTGAAATCACGCAGTTTATCCGGCAACCATTCATCAAACACTAGAGCTTACATCCTCAATAATGAACGAATATCTGGAATATGGTTCACGTTTATGACGATTTGAAGCATTTCAAGCGTATGTTTGAGCCGGTTATCACTAAGTAAGTTCGGACCATCAGCATTAAGAAAAACTAGAGGAAGAGTTAAAATTTTGGCTCCACGAGTAACCTCGAGTGATTCACCTATGTCAAGAGCGCAAAGTAGATCATGTCGGGACCAACGGCAAATCGGGCGGTGTAAGACTGTTGACCAACGTAACTGAGGCCCCCGGATCGGTTTGTAGGCAAAGCAGTTAGCCTACTAGTCTACAGCTCCATAGTACATCGTGGCATTCCCGCACATGATGTCGTAGTATGTGAAATCGAGTAAGATATGAATGTATCGGAATTCTCTATTATCCGGACAGTACTTGGTGGAGAGTAAGCTACATGACGTGAGAGCACAGCTGAGCCGCTTCGACTTGTAGATACTTCAAAATGTGATAAAGGTTTGGCTGGTCAAGATTTTCTCAACGTCAGTGACGTCATGGAAGATGTAGGGCAGCTTTTAGAGTCATAATTTGAAGATCACTTTCCACTGGGATAAAGGCATTTCAGCACCGACGGAACAAGTAGGCTGTGCCTGAGGGTGATTAAGATGAAAAAGCAAAACACTGAAGACTGTATCTCGTTTGGTGATTAGAGGCACAAAATTTTCATTCGCTGTAATGAGTACATGGTCACGCCGTTAGTGTCGATCCTCAGGTTGAAAGGCAGATTCGCGCAGTCCTCAGAACCGCACTCAATTCCGTCGAAAGATGTTAAAATAAGTAAAATAAATGGTGTATTCGCGACGGGGTGGTGCACACCTGTGAAGGTATGAGCAGATGGGGACAATAGGTATAACCGTATAGGAATGGTACAGGTGAATTATTGGAAAAAGTAAGAATGAAGATGGTATCAGGTTTTACATATGAACAGTTGTCGTATAGTCATGGCATCGAAATCGGACATGGGGCTGGTGCGAGGAAAAAAGGTGTTAACAAAGCCAGTGGTTGCTAAGGTTTTGCTATGTCGATATATGTGCACATAAATGCAACAATTTGGTATAATTGTTTTTTGGGTGTGTTGTATCAAGAAAGCCGTAGGAAAGGTAAAATGTATCTTGCAAAATTAACCAAGTACAACTGAGTCAATCCCTTGTTAAACGGAGAGTCAAGCGACAGACACACACAACCAATAGGAAGATAGGAATGAGTCAGCAAGCCAACCAATGAGATCGAGCCAATCGATGTTGCTGACTTGGTTACCACAGGGTGAAGAACCAGAGTGTGCTAATTGATGTAAAGAAATGGAAATGGCATGACGGAAGGGAATCGAATTGAAATTGGGAAGCAGATAAAGTTGATGCCTTTGAGTTTTTGAGGTAATCAATCTTTTTCCAGAAAACCATTGAGATATCCTTATATCCAAGTATACAGTAGTTGAAACTGTATTTGTGATGAGGTGGGGTCTCTGAGGAGCGGCAGCTGTCTCTGTTGACGAATAGTCAGCCGGAAAGGCAAGTTGTGATAACCATAGCATAATCTTCAATTCATTTCCAGAGGAGCGAACCGTGTGCCCATGTGAGTATGGGCCAGAATCGTTGAGTATGGGCGAGTCGGAGCGATTCCCCGGATCGGAAGGTGCCAACCGATGTGTCTGCAAATCTCATGAACTACCATAAATAGCAGAGAACCCTAGAGGTTCTTCGCCACCTTACAGCCTTCAAACACCCATCCTCATAATGTCCATCAGTAACTAGTATTCGTTATACCCATACCTCGATTCTCAGAAAGAAAGGTGGAAGGCATCCCTACTCATGACAATAGTATTTTTTCTACCGTAGCATTCCATTTTTCATACAGCCTTGTCAAATAGCAATCGATGTTATATTGGGTTGCAGTAGATGCATGGTACTTGCAGCCATATCCTTGTTCTGCGGCTGGTCCCGATCTCAGTAGAAAACGTGTTTCATCGCTCCAACTACACCACGTAGAGATTGGCATTCATCTCCTTTGCACTGGCAAGTGACTTTTATAATGCTGATGGTCAATCCATTCGGCTGACTATAAGATATACTAATGAGTCAGTGGAGAAAATGCTATTTCCCATAGAAAGTATGATAATCTGCAGTTTATTGGTGGTTCGTTAGCGGATATGATATCCACCGGTAGCCGGTTTCCGCAGTGAGTATAGTGAGCGAATCAATCCTGAGGTAGCCACTAAAGCAATTGACAATCAAATAGATCTTTCCTTTGTGACTGAAGTTGTTTAAGGCGATGTTTATCAAGACATACAGGGGAGTTCCCGAAGCAGCATCGGCCCTTTCGGATGGCGCACGTCCTATGCTCTGTATGCTAATCAGTTCGGTACGTACTCTCGCATGTAACTGGCTATCCTTAATCAGAACATCAGCACCCGCGTTCTTGCCGCATAATCGATTCTCAGATGTATGCAGTGGATGAGCTTCGGCATGGAACACTGCAGTACCCAAGAGACAAATACATAATTACTTTTTAATAGCAAATTTTGTCGGCCGTGAGTTTGTTGCGAAAATGAAAAAGCAGGATCAGTCCATTGGACAGATTTAGTTTAGCACAGACCTTTCATACTGTTTGCACCGGCAGTTTGTAACGTTGTAGTTGTTGCGGATGTTTCTCAGTGTGGGGAATGTTGTGTTGTGTGAATACGTTTAGAGTTAAGATCCAGATCGAACTCTTAAAGAGGAATGAATACCTGCTGGATACAAGGTGGAAAGATATGGATGGTTTGACTGGAATGAACACCAATGGCTTGTGGTTGATGAAGACGATGGCACTGCGATTAAAGCGTGGACCAGCGTCAAGGTACTTTCGTTAATTAGTGCATACCAGCGCTCGGTCTCCGACTGCGAAAATCTATGGGCATCTCGCCGCTCTGTATGCGCAGCGAGTCTCAATGCCGTACTGATCACTGCCACGAGTGGTGGAGATGGATCATATCAAGCGAGAGTAGGTGCGACTGCAAGTAGCGCTTCGATCTTCCGGTGTCAAAATTCCCGGTTAGAAATCAATTTTCAAACCGTCATCGGCATATCAGTCAACCTGCGCAAGAAACCACCGGGGTAGTCGATCGTCACATTCAGCGTGCTAACAGCGTTCGCGTTATTGAGAGAAGATATCAAATTGAAGACATTTCCTCCGCATCGTGCGTCAATCAATCTGAACTCACGACGGGTTTTTGTAAACCATCTGGAGCATTAAGGGGTTTAGCGTTGACACAAATATAAAACACCTCCTAATCTGTCGGCCCAACAGTCTTAGTTACAGTGCCAAAATAGGTCAAACACCGCATTTCCAGCGGAAACAGTTGCACAAAACACAATGTAATATCCCAGTTGGCAAACATTGGCTTGAGGGATTCGAACAAAGACAAATGAGCGCATCCCATGAATTTCTTCACAACTAAGTGAAAAGCATCAAAATGAAGGTCCAGACTATTTGTCCTAGTCTGAGATGAATGAACAAAATGATCGTGATTAAAGGAGGTAGAAGCAAAACTCTGAATGGAGTCAGTTTGCCGAGTGAGTGTAAGGACAACGGACGAAATCAGGAACTGCAGTTGGTGCTGCCGCTCGTTCATCAGATTAATGGCCTTCACGGCGACACTGCATTTCGGTTGCGGACAGCGAGCTACTACGCATTATGAAACCTTCTGTTGCACTCTAATCTCACCCTGTGCCTCGCCGACAGCATGCTACAGGGGGATCGTTCAGATGCACGGAACTGTGGGACTGGATTGCCATGAGCAAACCCAAGCTGAAGTGAAGACCAGCCAATCCGGACACAGTAACCACGTGCAATCGATAGACAACTGCAACAACGGATGACCACATAAGTCAGGAAAGAAAATAAACCATCAAAAAGAAGGAAATTAATTGATCATAAGAAAACACAACTGTTCCACATGATAAGTATGACGTTAGATAGCCACCCGTATAAAGTTACAGCGGAAGATTGCAAAAAGTCGAGCATTTCAGGAGGCCAGCTGTAGCCAAGGCGTGCGAACAATATAGCAATAAGAAATGTCATGCAGTACAGTAGACGCCAAGGAAGCGAACGCTGAGATCTCCAGTAGCATACTCACTCAGATGAACAGTTCTGATGTGTTCTTGCAAATACCCTTTCTGAGCATAAGATTTCTGACAGAGCTCGCATGTGTGAGGCCGTTGATCTGGATTGGGGAAAAGAAAGTGAGCAATTACAGAGCAAAAAAAGGCGCCTGATGGGGAACGATTTGTTAGAATGGGTGTACAGAAGTCAGGGCATACGAAGGCCTTGGTGACGAACAAAACATTTGACGATCCAGGAGACAAAAACCCTAGTTCAACGCATACAATGCTTTGTAACACTGGGGATAGAGGTGTAAAATAGCGATCGAATGGATTAAAAAGTTACAATCCCTTATCAAATGCTTGGTTTACCACCTAAGTATATGTGTTACGTTTCCCTTCATTGCGGTGTTCAGGACCGAAATTCGTCCCACGTTATGATGAGGTGATTGTCACCAACGAAACACGCAATATCAGAGAAAACATCCGCTCGATATTCGGAAACAGATCTGAGCAAAATACTGAGCCAATCTGCATTAGCAGTTCTGGATGAAACCTGTACGTAATAACCGGACACATTTCACTGAACCGCGGTCACACATTCCAGAGAAATATACTTATTATTATTATTATTAACATACGAGCACCAAACATATGGATATTCTGCTTCACCCCACAGTTCGAAGTAGATAAGATGGAAAGAAAGCCCGCTGCAGCGATACGGACAACCGGCTGTGGGCGTAATCGGCGTAATCATTGGATAAAGAACGATGCGCGTGTGCCACATAGTAGGGCCCGTTCACGCCGCGTCCGAGTAGATGTGTCTTATTTATCTCACTGATCCACATTCCAGGATCCCGAGCAGCAACTCCAATGACGTACGCTATTCTACTCAATTATGTCCTTATAGACCACACCTGTGGTAATTTGGTGCTCACAGGTGTGCTCCATCACTTTGTGGTTCCATCGCAATGAGGCTGGACTTTACCGTGGTGCGATGGTTTGTGTGCCTCAGCGATCCATTGAGCTACGTGGTGTATTTTTGCACCTTCAGAGTCACTCAATGGTTAGAGGCCAGACAAACTCAGCCTCCTGGTCAACCACGCTGGGGTTGGAATGAAGATGGCTCCTTATTGCTTAAAACGGAATCCTTGTAGCCCAACGCCAAACCCGCTGCCTTGCGGTAAAGTTTTTGAACCAAAGGCTTTGGTTGAGAACCCTAATCGTTCTCCTGTCTAGACCTGGGCAACCTAACAGTATCCTGTCCACGCAATCCTATGAATCTTTTCTCAAACGGTTTCTTGATGCTCTGGCCACCGCAGAGGATAATCGACGGTGCTCTATCTGCTGCATCGAGCAGGGTGGACAGGGGTTTGGATGCTACTGCTCTGGTCTTCCCATCCTCTTATTCCCCCTCTTACGCTTTCTCTCCCTTGTGGTCCCGTTCTAACTTCCCTTCTATCCACCCCTGTTTCCAACCCCCAATTCTTGGCCCTCCCCGCCTTCCTTTGCTAGGCTTTTACCTTCTAGTTTCAACTCACATGTGAACGCGGAGCGTCACTCCTCTCCTGTCGACAAGCTCGTGTCCAGTCAAGCGGTCCATTCTAGTTCACCGGCTTCCATTTGGAGCCCTCGATCCTCCTTCAGATTGGCATGCCTCAATGTACGCACATTGCTACAGATCGGTCAACAGGCAGCACTTGCCTGAACTACAGAGACGCTCTCCATCAATATCTGTTGCTTGTCGGAGACCCGCTTGCAAGACTCGAGCTCTGTGCTCACTCTGCGATCCCCTTCAGGTGACATCAGCAGCATTTTCTCATTGCGCCTATCCGGTGATGATGCAGCTTCGAACACCGCCAAATCGGTGTTGGTATTGCCCTGGGTCCCCGGGCTGAAGCTGCTCTGGTTAATTGGATTCCAATCAGTAGCCGGATGTGTGCGGTCCGATTGGCTGGCTCGTTTAAAGCTTCGAAGTCGCGCGGGACGAATAGGTGTCTACTCATCATCGCTACCTATGCGCCCACAAACTGTAGCGATGATTCGATAAAGAACGACTTCTACCGCCAACTGACTCAGCTCCTTCGCCACAGAAGAAGCACGGACACTGTTGTGCTGGCGGGGGATATGAACGCACAAGTTGGAAAGTTGTCCACTGATGTAATGCATCTGCCCGGCCAGTACGGTGTAGGCTCCCGTAATGATAACGGTGAGCGGTTACTTCATTTGTGTGAAGATGCTCGCTTATTCCTTGCGAGCACTAATTTCCGACACAGCACCCGCCGGAGGGTGACTTGGCGCCCACCAGCCTCGAACCAGCCTTGGACGCAGATCGATCACATTGCTATTAGTTACCGCTGGAGAGGCTGCATCCAGAATTGTCGCTCGGTTTGGAGCACATGTGTGGACACCGATCATGCACTTGTATGTGCTGACATGCGGATGCGCATTGGCGGACGCCCACGACGACGCTGTGAGCGCATTGACACCAGCCAACTGACAAAGCCAGCTGTTCTGAATGCGTATCGAAGTACGCTGACATGCGAGTTGAGTAATCGCTCACTGGAGACAATTGATGGTCACTGGTCGCATGTTCGCCAGACCTTACTAGCAGCGGGCAAATCCTCATGTGGTATGTCTAAAAGCCAACATGGACATTGGGTCTCTTCTCGGTCTCGGGAACTTATCGACGCTCGCCGGCACATCCCGGCTGGAAGCGAGCACAATGAAACTCGCAATGAGCTCCGGGTAAAACTCCGCGCTAACCTGAAGAGAGACCGCGAATCTTGGTGGTCTCATCGTGCGTCAGAGATGGTAGTGGCAGCTGCCCTTGGCAACCATCGTAAGTTATTCCGTCTGATACGGGAAACGGGCAGCAGGAGACCTGGTGTTAGTGAAACAATTTGTGATGAGAGTGGACAGCCTATCCACAATTTGTCAAAATGTTTGGAGCGTTGGGCTGAGCACTTTGAAAAGCAATTTAATCGGCTAGAATTGTTCGATTCGCCGGTCACTGATCGCCCTGCTCCGTGGGCTGACCCTTTGGATCCACCCTCTCACTCAGAAGTCGAACGTGAGATCGGACTGTTGAAGTTGAACAAAGCCGCGGGACCAGATGATCTTCCTCCAGCCCTCTTAAAATTCGGAGGCTCTGCTCTTGTTGATGCTTTACACGAATTACTAGTGAAACTGTGCGAGCATGAGATTGTCCCAACCGACTGGAGCCGCTCCGTTATTGTTCCCATCTTCAAAGGCGGCTCGCGCTCGGAATGCGGCAACCATAGAGGAATCAGTCTGATCTCCATCGCCTCCATCATTCTTCACAGACTGACTGGCGCTCGTGAAAGTCAGATTCATGAGGAGCAAGCCGGGTTTCGTCGGGGTCGCGGCAGCTTCGACCACATCTTCACTTTACGTCAATTGTTGAAGCACCGTCACACATATTGGCGGCCCACCGTAGTCGTGTTCCTCGACATCAAATGTGCCTTCGATTCGGTTGATCGATGTGCCCTTTGGAATTGTTTACTCAGGAAAGGTGTGCCCGAGAAATATGTAAATATTATCCGAGCATTATATGCGCGTAGCACGGGCAGAGTGAGGGCTTACGGCAAGCTGTCACCACCCTTCAATATCTCCAGCGGTGTGAGACAAGGATGCCCGCTGTCACCTTTCCTCTTCAACTTCGCTATTGACGAAGTCATGGAGATTACATTTACAGGACATGACTTGGAAGGTGTGGAGGTACTACCAGGAGAACGACTTCTTGACTTGGAGTATGCAGACGACATTGCTCTCATCTGTGACAGCTCCCAGACGTGCCAAGCCGAGCTAGACAGATTAGCACTGGTTGTCAGCCGCTTCGGGCTTTGCTTTGCACCATCGAAGTGCAAAGCGTTCCTCCAAGATTGGCAGGGATCGCCTCCTGCGCTGACTTTTGTTGGGGATCAGCTAGAAGTCAGTCAGAAATTCAACTACCTGGGAAGTTGTATCAGCGCCCTTGGGATCGAAGTCGAGATCACAAACCGTATAGCAAAAGCTCGAAATGCTTTTACTAGTCTTGGCCATCTATGGCGGCGGCGCGACATCACTCTTGCCCTGAAGGGTAGAGTGTACAATGCAACGGTTGCGAAACATGGCCCCTTAGATCAACAGATATAAAGAGGCTAGTTACGTTCGACCATCGGTGCGTTCGCAGTTTGGCTCACATATGGTGGGAACACCGCGTGAGTAGCGGGCGTGTTCGACGCCTTGTTTATAGCACAGGAAAAGGAAGTGGACCGCTCAGCACCGTCGCTTCACGCACCAGGCTGCGATGGCTCGGCCACGTGTTGCGCATGCTAGCCATCAACTCCCGCGACGTGCGCTGTATGCGCGCCGGGGGTGTGGATGGAAGAAGAGAGGTGGTCAAGCGATGACTTGGTAGAGAGGAATGTAGGTCCTCACTTCGGAGCTGGCCTCGGTCGGAGCTCCACAGCTCCCTGGTTTGGGACCGAAAGACCATAAACACGTTTGGCTAGATACACTTGCCGATATGGCTAGGAGTCGAGCTCAGTGGCATTCTTGATGTGAGTTTCTTTGTCCCGCCCCATTCCTTTTAGCCTCCCCCTCCAACCACGATCTCATTTCGTAGCATAATACAATTTTACATCATAAATTTTTCTTGGTGCCTAGTAGCCAGCTGGTAGTTTTCCGGAACGTAGCCCATCCGTTGCTGGTAGCTCAGCTGGCATGCCACTGTTGTATTTTCTTTTTACTTTTATGCATTGCGGCACAGTAGCTGAGGTGTTTTAATCCTTTAGCTGACGTGTATAATGATGACTTGGTGGTTATTTGAGCGAAGAGAACCGACGTGGACAACCCATAAGGAGAAGTCAGGACTGACGCAACCCGGAGGGAACAAAGCACAGCCTTGTCACGAACAAAGGCGAAGCGGATTGGCCGGAACACCCGCGGGCGGACGAAGCGTGGGCGTCAGCGATCCTACAATGACGACCCAGGAAGTGATGACCGCCAGTCAACTAAACAAACGGTTGCGACATGTAGCGAGTGAAGAGAATGCGAGTCAGGTGTTACACAGGCCAGTTGGCAGTAATCGCGCTGGACAGACAAAGACTGATGCTTT